CACATAAAAGTGACAGGCTCACAGACACTCCTCACAGTTTTCTAGCAAGTTGTAATTATTGGGGATCACTATGCGACGGGCAGACTGACCGGCTATCATCTCCACTTGGTCCGAGGACCCGCCATCCTCGCCTACGTCCTCAATGACAATTTCAGGGCTCGCAACATCCACTCGCTCGCCCCCTCTCTTCGTGACCGCTTGTGATCCGCCGTCCTGAGCACGTGCCGGGCTAGGATTGGCAATGGCCTCCCTCTGAGGAGTAGGCCATCCCGAGCGAATGACATCAGCCATGAAGACCGGCCTAGACCCACGGGGCGGCAGCAACCTTCTCCGTCTGTGTAACCACTGACTTACCAGCACGGATTAGGCGCCTCTTCTTCTCCAACGGTTCTTCCTCTTCAGAACCTCCCTCCGTGGAACGCACATTTGGCTCGGCTGGCACCACTCTAGTAGGAGGCGTCACTACAGGGGTAACCTCAGGAAGGGCCTCCGGTACTGCCGTAGGTGCCTCCCCAGGCGCCACTTCAGGCACGGCCCCAGGCGCCGCCTCAGACGTCGCTTCGGGAGCCGTCGCTAATGCAATCTCTTGCCCTGGGGGAGAAAAGGCACTGTCCCTAGGCGTGCTCACAAGGAGTATATCCTCCTCGTCGGAATCAGACACTGCCCTGGAGGGACCGGCCCAAGTTTTCTTCTTCTTCTTTTGTGCCTTCTTTGAAACACCCCGACCTAACAAAACAGATATGAGTTAAGCAAGGAATATCAAGGAAAATCCCCGGGCTGGAACGAAAAGGAAAAACGAAGCAAGGCCATTACCTTTCGGGCCATAAAGCCTGCGGAATTCGGGCCAAGTACGACACTCCTCGGCAAGCGGAATCAATGCTCTTACCCATGATCTAATGTCGTCGATCGCATCGGGAGTGCAAGCTTTCACTACATAGAGGTAAAGAGAAAGGGAAGAAAAAAATCTCTAAGGTGATCAGGCCGACAAAATAAATGCCTCCATAAAAATTGCATACAGAAACACTTACATTCTGTGTTCCACACCTACGGGAACCCCTTTGGGTTAGATACCAGGTGTTCAGTACGTATGTAGAAAAACTTCTTCCAAAATTGACGATTGGGCTTATCGTCTGACTGCACCACAAAACTCGTCTTACCCCGACGTACCAGCTGAAGCATGGTACCTCTCATGAAGCTCACGTTGAACATTTGCAAGAGATGGTGGACGGTGAACTCCTTCTTAGCCTTAGCTGCGTATGTGGTGAGGATCCTACACACCTTCAACGCATATAGGGTTAGTTGGGCCGGACACGCCCTATACAAGCAACAAAGCGCCTCCGCGAAAGGATTGAGTGGGAGGCTGTATCCAACTCGAAAAACATACTCATAGAACATGCAATATCCAGGCCTGTGCATGTTGGCGTAATCCATCCCTGCGGGGACCATCTCAACATGATCAGGGATATTGAACGACGTTCTAAGAGCAGCCAACTGGGACGATGTTAACTCGGTAAGCTCCCAAGGAGGGAGTTTACTCTTAGTATTGAAGTCCTTCCGCGCTGCCATGTCCTGAGGGAGTACATTGGTCGTCGATAGAGGAACGAGGACCTCCTCAGCTTCTCATTCCCCACTATCTGAGAGCGATGAAACCATAGAAGGGGCATCACAGTTGGTCTTTTTATTATCATGGTGACGTTTTACCATGATGAGAATATGAAAGAAAGATACCTCAAAGGTACAGAGTTCGATTCCCAGGAACGGAAGTTTCAAGTGGGTCAATGAGCACTAGAAAAAGATGAAGATAAAGTTGAGGAAATACTTTCTGAAAAAGTTCGAAAGTTAGATCGGATTCAACTTCTCCTCTATTCATAAAGAAAGGCACACAGAAATCGAAAAGGCGCAATTCAAAAATTGGCGCAGGAAACCAAAACGTCACATCATGTCCTGAACCGCCTCGGGAGCAAAAAGTAATGATCACGCACGTGATCGATGATGTCATCGGAAAAAGAAACACTAAAAGGAGGTTGCATGTCAACGACATAACGCCTTCGCATATGTCTACGCCTTTTACAGGCAGTACCTACAGGCACGGCTAAATTTCAAGAAAGGTCAAGTATATATATCCGTTCGTTGAAGACGCTTCTCGATTACGTCTCCAACAAACAGAGGGACTATCTGTATTGGGCAAATTTGACTCCCCACGTCTGCGTGCCAAACAGGCACGTCCTTGGTATCAAGGCCAGTCCAAATAAGGCCGGCCCAAAGTTCGCCACAAGTTTCTCTGTCCGCACATAGAAGTAATTTTCCCAAAAGCGGCGATTGGACTTGTCGTCCATCTTCACCACCAAACTCTTAGTTCCTCAATGGCACATATTGATCATCGTACCCCGAAGAAAATGAGGGGCAAAGATGTGGAGCATGTGCCCTAATGAAATTCCTCGGCCGGCCAGTTCCGCGAACTTGATGAGCATAAGGAAGAGTTTGTACGCATATGGAGAGAGTTGAGCCGGGCACAATTCATAGAAACAGCAGAAGTCCACCACCAAAGAAGGAAGGGGAAGCGTGTACCCAATTTCGAAGGGGTACGCGTATAACGCGCAATACCCCGGACAATGCAGATGCACAATATCCTTCCCTGCCGGCACCATTCTGACATTAGCAGGGATTCCCCACTTAGGTTTGAGCGCCATGATCACCGCCTCGTCCATAGTGGAAGGAACGGGCCCCGGCTCACTTCCTGAAGGGCTGTAAAAATCAGTCCTCTGCTTCCGGGGACGAGGAATTATCTCATCCACCGTTGGAAATCCCTCGTCTTGCACCACCTCCACTCCCTCTTCGAGAAGGGATGCGTTGCTTAATGGCACCGGAGCACCAACAACTCTATCAGATTGGGAAGAAGTGCTAGCCATTTCTTTCCCTTGGTCGAGGTAAACAAGAATGGTGAGGGAAAAGATATAGTGGTCACTTCAAATTCTATCGAAAGCAGAAGTATGAAAGACCAGAAGATGAGGATGTTTGCAAAGTTCTTTCTCAGGTAAATGAAAAACGCAACAATCAGATAAAGGATTCCCCCTATTTATAGGAATATAAATGTCCTGAGCGGGAAACCCAAGAGCCGCCAATCAAAAAACTAAAAGGGCACGAGAAACGATATGGTACCTGGGAAACGTGCGCCATAATGATGCATAATGGGTATTCATGGTACCCTGAGTCGATCCAACTTTGAATTGACCTAACGGTCCAATGAAATCCCTGAAGCATCACATCGCCTCCTCGCCTTAAGGACCTTGTTCTGCGCATAATGTTCAGATTTCTCCTAACTTTTGAATCAATAGAATCCGCCCATCGAGCTCGCTAAAAGGTCCCCCGGCAGGCGGAGGGACCAACTGTATAGGTCAAAATCTGACCACAAGATGGTTGTCTTTAAAAGGAATGACAAGGGGTCGACCAAACCGTAATCGTGCCCACGAGGCGTAATAGCAATGAGCGTCTCGGGCATTGCCGAGATCAAACCGTCAGGAAGCTTACACCATATAACATATGTCGTTATATTTGGGAGAGTAAGGAAGAGTACAAAAATGAGAGGGTACGCTGGTTAAAGACCGTTGGTTAGATGGACGGCTATTTGAGTTAATTCTTCAATAATATTTAACCTAAATAACAATCTCTTCCCCC